AGGAGAACACATTTGCCATACTGAAAAATTTGTACATTAGTCAGGAGGCTGGCTTTCATGCTTCAGAAGCTGCCTTTTGGCTGAGATCGAAGTCTACACATCTGGAAGTTGTCTGGCTTGGCAAAGATTGATATACCCCAGTACTGTCAGGACTGACTTCATCTCCACTCTCTTGGTTTCAAGCAGATTGTCCAGCTTTTCAGCTAGGGTTGATGAGGATTGAACCTGGGCTAATGCATGCAAAGCATATCTTCTGTCACTAGTTATGAGACTTCCCAACTTCTTCTCCAGCATAAAGGATATTGGCAGTGCCCTGATGGATCCTGGCCCATTTGGTCTAGCAGTCTTTTCTCACAGTGGTCAACCATCTGCACTAGGAAGCCCATTAGTCTATATTTGCAAATGGGAGCAACCTGGAACTAAGGAGAAACTTCCTGACAGTGAGGACAATTAACCAGTGGAACAGCTTGCCTCCAGAAATCATGGGCACTCCATCACTGGAGGTTTTTAAGAAGAGACTAGACATTCACCTGTCTGAGATGGTATAGGTTCTCCTCCTTGAGCAGGGGGCTGGACTAGAAGACCTCCAAGATCCCTTCCAGCTTCTATTCTATTCTATTCTATTCTATTCTATTCTATTCTATTCTATTCTATTCATCAATGCCTATGATTGGGAAGTTGAAGAGAGTATTGTTATAGCATCTTAGTGGGGAGTATGCTGCACTGTGCATGGGTGACATGATTGTTTTTATTGCTTTTGCTATGGGCTGCCTAGGATAGCTGTAGAGGTAGTTCTCGAATTGCAACCTTTCTGTTAGTGGCTGAAATTACAATGGCCCTGAAAAAAGTGACGTACGACCATTTTTCACACTTACGACTGCTGCAGCATCCCGTGGTCACATGATCCAAATTCAGCAGCTTGACAACTGGCATGTGTTTATGATGGTTACAGGGTCCTAGAGTCTTGTGACCTCATTTTGTGACCTTCTGACAAGCAAAATCAATGGGGAAGATAGACTCACTTTACAAACATGTTATTTAACAAGTGGAGTGATTCACTTCACAACTGTGGCAAGAAAAGTAGTAAAATGAGGCAAAACTCACTTAACAACTGACTCGCTTAGCGATGGAAATTTGGGGCTCAATTGTGGTCGTACCTCAAGGACTATGTATATAAGATAAGTAGCTGTCTAAGGTGTATAACTAATTATATCATAGTGACAAAACCAGCTCTCTGGCTTTGATCAGATATAAATCAGATATATCTTCTGGCAGGAACAACAAGGAGAAGAATTCCTCATAGGAAAAGAAAATCTACCCAATATCCATTCATTTTTTCCCGCTGGAAGCTTGTGAGAGCATACATGAAATATTATTTTGAGAAGCCCCATTAGGAAAAAAATAAAAAGTGCTTTACGTATGAACTGGGGGGGGGAGGGGGAGAGAGTGCAAAGGCAGAGGGGATGTGCTCTGTCAGCGGCCTTGTACTGATAATCAAACCCACGTATGCATGACTAGAATAGACACACAGAAGCCGCAAAAGCCAAGTCTTTTGCTTGCAAACCAGTTGAGCATTGTACAAAAAACCCACGGGTGTATACTAAACACTCTTTTGTTGAAGATCCAGATGGAAATGGAAGCTTGTTTATTGCCACACTGAAGAGGTTCAGCCCTCACATAATGTGAGTTGTCTGATTCTGGCAGAGCATGCTGATGAACCCCACCCATTCTGGCTTCTGGACAAGGAGCTACTGCCTTCTTTATAGCCAAGTAAGAAAAATGACAAGAAGGGAGCACATACGAAACTGGGACTCACATTCGCCTTTGAAATGAATTTGCTTTTTAATAAGGTTTTTTTTTTAATCGTAACACGTTTTACAAAAAGATACACAAAAATAGAAAAAAAGGATATGTTTAGATATATCAAATATACATCAAATAGTAAACAACATTTTAAAAATTCTAGATTACAGAAAACAAATACCCTATTGTCTGATATAAAATCTATGCTAAAGGTAAACATATTGGAATAATAATAATAATAATAATAATAATAATTATTATTATTATTATTATTATTATTATTATTAGTAGTAGTAGTAGTAGTAGTAGCAGTAGTAGTAGTAGTAGGAAGGGACTTTGGAGGTCATCTAGTTCAACACTCTGCACAGGCAGGAAACCCTACCATTTCAGATAGTAGATAAAATTGCTTTTCCAAAACAGATTAAGATTTAAATCCAATCTTTAATTTCAGGAATTAATATTACTTTCACAATTCCTCAAAATAATTATCTTCCCAATACAGCCATAATTACTCAATAGTCAAATTCCAGAGATTTGGGACATAGTTTAACTTTATATTAACATCTTTAATATTATAAATATCCCCATAAATCTACTTATGATAATACATTATTCCAGAAAGATATCAGTTGCTTACAAAACCAAATTATGCCAGGCCCCTCAAATTTTTGTCAATCAAAATCTGACATACATTTTTTTCAAATACGTTCTTTGGGGTACCCAGAATAGAATCTTTTGATGAATCAATTTTAAGCTTAATTCCAATGAAATTGGTTTAACATTTTTAAGACATGAAACTATTGATATCCCATTATTGGATGTTCCACTTCTTTAGACCATAATCTATAATGACATTAATATCAACTTTGGAAATATTCTTTAGTTTTTGAAATAAATACAATGTAGGTTTAGTTCTGAACATACTCCATCAGAGAGGGAAGCACCTTGAATTTCTCAGAAGCAGCCATAGCAAGTGGTCCACATTGACCCATCAAGATGTGCTTGTGTTGATTATATTATTGCTTTTTAATAAGTAAATAAATCGACCAAGACTTGAGGTACCTGGATTTAGCACACCGGAAGCCATTGCTTTCATGGCTGTTATGCATTCAGAACAAACTCAAGAAGCTTCCCAGTTCAGAGGCAACTGTTCCACAAAACTAATCCTTTATGGCCCTTTCCTTCCTACTGAGTTAAAATATTATCCAGCTTTCCTTGCATTGGCAGCAAAATATGCCCTCATAAACTTGGCTGTGCAGAACCTCAATCCTATCTTGCCCAAGTTATATCATTTGTGATTCCCTATGAAATTATATAATTCAGATTTTGGGGATTTACACATTGCTACAGGCAGGATGATCAGCTTTATCCTCTGGTTTTATCGTCATCCCCTTCAACACATCATCTGCCAGCAGGTAAATATGCATCATTTGCAGAATGAATGGGGTGAGTCTGATGTTACTGTACCGTTCTGCAATTTGGGGATTTGTCTGGGCCTCCTTAGATTAGTTTGCTTGTCTTCATCTCACTTCCATCTCAAATTTTCAAAATAATATGAAATAAAGACCCATATGGGAAGACAGCTCCCAATGATAACCATGAGTATCTGAAAAATTCTAAAATTAACTATGTAACACATCAGATTTTGATTCAGACTGTTAAATTAAGACACACCCAAGGAGACAGCCAGGGCAGAAGGAAAGAGGAACAGACAAGAGGAAGGGAATGGTAAAGGGACGAAAAGGAACTGAAGAAACAAAATGCCAGGAAAGAGCAATTGGGAGAGAAATTACTGTGGTGCCACCTGGTCAATGACCCAAAGGGCCATGAAGCATCCGCGCTTTCCAAAGTACAGCCCTGGTCACACTTACAAAAGGTCACCTAGCCTTTTCTTCAAAATCATGGTTGACAAAACATTACATATTTTTTTGACGTCTTGAAGTGTGCAGGGAACAATGTAAAACTGAGGAGAGGCTATTTATATTTCAGTACACAAAATGGTGACTTAAGATTGTTTAAGAAGGGGATGAAATGAGGTCAGGGTCATGTAACCAAGGAGGAAGATTGAGGTCATCAGGACAATATGGTTCTGTTGTAAATTTCAAATGGAGAAATGTCCAACATTAATCCCTCAAGATCCTTACTCATCTTCCTTACCTTTGCTTTTTCAATTTGGTTCGCTATTGTGTCTTCAGGAAGCTAGAAGCACCTTTGATATGGCAGCAGATAAGGAAAGCAGAATCCTCATTCCGGTATCACGAACTGTAATCGGAAAGCAGCTTGAAGGCCAAACTTCAGAAATTCCCACAAACTTTTTAGAAGCCATCTAACTTTCTTGTTGGCTGTTAAGTAATAGTGTGGCCTCATGGCGCCACCTAATGAACATTTCAGGACAAGAAAGTTGATGGACCATAGGAATTTCATCTTGGAAGGAGAGGACACCCAGGTTTTTGGATGACCAGAGGGCCCCAACTAGTAATATAAGAGCAGTTCAAATGTATTAAGTCCATATAGTGGACTTATATGGTATTCAGCTGTCTCAAATGTGCAAAGCTGATTGCCTTAAGTACTGCTTTCAGCATGAGCATTAATCTCAAACTTAAAAATTAAATTTCCAATATGAATAAATAAAAAAATAACCTGCCACGTTTTTCCATTTTAATCGCTGCAACTAAGAAGTAGCTGAACTAGAATGGATGGAAATGGTTGCTTCTTGATGTGGAACCATTTTTTAGACAAATAAGAAGTGGGGAAAGATGTTATACCATACTCTCTGCACTTACATTTCAAAACATTTACAACTTTTACGTTCACATTTGCAGTAGTGGAACGGACTGGTTGGCTCAGTTATAGTTTATGTGAATTTCCTCTGGTGCTATTGCTTAGGAGTGAGCTTATTAAATACACATGTATACTACTTTATCTGTTAACAGTAGCCCGACTTCAGTTTGAACTTCTAGGAAAAAAGAAGCTATTTCCCTCGATTTCCCAGGACTTACTGTATCAAAAATTAGCATGCACCGGAATCTGGCAAGAATCAGTCAACTATGTGAAGCCGAGCTCTGCATTTTCTAGCTGCTTAAATTGCAATCAGGATATGCTGTGACTAAAAGATTTATGATTGGCAACAAACTGAAGTCTAGGCTGGTGACCCAGGTTCACCATTTGGGAAAGAGCTTTATTTTTAAAAATGATTATACAATACACAATTGGACAGCAAAGTCAGGATATGAGCAGGAAAAATATTCAGACCTAATAGGAAAAGGGACTGACACTGCCTTTCCTCTTTGACTTATCCTCATGATTACTAAATCCAAATTTATCTCCCCCTTTCCTTTAGAGCAAAACCGATTTTACCTTTACATCCAGAATGTTCAAAGCAATCTACAAACTGTATTCATTTATTTAATGTACTTCAAGCCTTTGTAAGGCTCTGTGAATTTAACTGTGACTCTTCTGTGAAGGCTGTCATGGCATCAGATCTAATGACAACAGTCCAGTAGAAATGCAGGGACAAGAGGGATTGTGGTGGAAATCATGTCCAGCGGTTTCTTCAACTGGTCTGTATATGTGGAGTTGAGATCAGGATAAAGCAAAATGGGACCACCGCTCTCAAACCCCCACTCTAACCCTACAAAACAAATCTCAAATCTTTGCAAAGGCGGATAAGGCACTTACACCAGTTGATAAATCCCTAGAAATGAAACTCTGAAAGACTTTATCTGCTCCCCTCCCCTTTTCTACAGGGACCAAGACTGAGAACTGCTCCTGTTTGGGAGCTGCTTAGAGCATCTTCAGAGTAATGGAGAGCTCCCCAGTTGAAAAAGCACAATGGATCCACCAGACTGTAGATGACATCCATTACTGAGGACAGCAATGAACTTTTGGTACCCCCAACCAATGTAGATATACAAAACCACCAGATATTGCTAGTGGCGTATCTGCAGAGCAATGAAAGGGAATTGCACAATCTGTTGCAACCTCTGAATTGTGCAGGAGTATTGTGTTGATAATCTTGGGCAAGTCCAATCTCATTATCCAATCAATTCTAGCATTTCTTCCTGATCGACTATTTTCTCCCGAGGCTTTCCGGCCAGTTTGCCTCTTGTCACTTCAACAGCATCAATCTTCTCCCAACCCGAAAAGGAAACAGGGTGGACCGCTGTTAATTGGCAGAGAAGGGGGAAGTGCAGATCAAAATCCAAATTAACCACACACACAAACCTCAGAAGCCCTCACATGTGCAGAGGCTTCTTCAGAATCAAATTCTGAATTAAAGACATGCTCTCCACACAAAGGACTAGTCAGACCCAAGAGTCCCAGCCAAATCAAATTACTTCGCCGTTTCTGGGAGGTTTCTTATAATAGTATCACTTTATCTTCAGGGACAAATTGCCTTTGGTTCATTTAAACATTTGAATCCATTTAGAGGGAACACACTAATTGAAAGCATTTAAATAAAATGACAATAAAAAAACCAGTTGGGCTTTAAAATGCTTTTCCAGATATATTAGGAAAGGGCCACAGCAAAATTGATTCAAATTCAACCACATTATAAAAAAGAGAGTCTATTCCTTTGAGCTTTTTCCAGGTTTCACATGTCACTGTGAAATTATCAAACCCGGGGTTCTCTGGAGGACAATCTGCTTACATTTCCAAGCCTATCAAAATTGCTGCTTTATATAGACCTAGTTCTCACAGTAATACACTACTTCCGTGCCCTCCTATATATAAAAAAGCAAGAAAATAAAGACTTGGGCAGAAAATCTGCCATGTGCTAAGGCAGTGGTTGTCAACCTTTTTAATGCCGCGACCCCCAACCGGTCGTAAGTCGAGGACTAAACCGGTCGTAAGTCGAGGACTAAACCGGTCATAAGTCGAGGACTACCCAACCGGTCGTAAGTCGAGGACTTTCCCTGCCTGGGAGCGCCGCACATGCGTGGTTCCGCCCCCTGCGCCGGCCGAGGTGTAGCTGGCAAGCGGCAGAGACGGAGCAGGCCGACCACCAGCTGGCCCAGCTCAAGGGAGGTACGGCACCCACCGGAAAAGGGTGAAAAAATGGCGGACAGCCTTGCTTGGCGACCCCTGTGAAATGGTCGATCGACCCCAAATGGGGTCGCGACCCATAGGTTGAGAACCGCTGTGCTAAGGAGTCTCTGGCGCTGCCAATTCCTTTCTGCTGTTTTTTACCTAGGTAGCAATATCAACTGTGCGCTCTGAGGGAATCTTTGTCCCTCTAGTATTTGAATCTCTGGATATTATGCAAATCTGCAGAAATAAATAAACCCCCCAGAGGCAAGGGACTTAATCCCTAGTACAGGGGTAGGCAACCTTGGCTCTTTAATGACTTGTGGACTTCAATACCCAGAATTCCTGAACCAGCCATGCTGACTCAGGAATTCTGGGAGTTGAAGTCCACGAGTCATAAAAGAGCCAAGGTTGCCTACCCCGAGGATCTTACAAATAAATTCTAACGTCGGATGTTAGAGCCCCCTATACAGACGTATTCTCCAAGTTCGTTTCTACAAACATTCGTATTCATGTATTTACACCCTCCCCCCCTTGACAGTTTTTCGGTTTTATGGAACAGTAATCTTTTTAGAGTGTACTTATCGTAAGGATAGGTTATAAGTCAAATATAAGGGGGGGGTTATCTGAACAGGCAGCTGAAGAGAATAGCAAAGCCTGGGGACCACATTTGTCCTCAAGCAGGTATGTTTCCTTGAGACAAACAGGCAAAATCCAGAGAGATCAGTTCTAAGACTCAAGAAGCACACAGGCTCCTCAAGACAGCTCGGAAAGAAGTCCTACTTTCAATATCAATCCAACAAAAAAAAAGTAAACAACCTCAAAGCATTACAGTGAGCATAGACTAAGATTGCAAAGACATTTGTCACAACACTAGGAGATTCCGGCCAAAACATTTAAGATAGGGATTTGGGTTCTAGAAAAGGTGAATTGAAGATAGCCATGCAAACGAGGTGCCACTCAGTTTTACAGTTCATTAAAATACATTCCTTAGCTGGAGTAGTCCAAGTCGTCATAAGAGTACTAATACCAAGTGGGCAACTTTTCACATTCCAGTTGTTATATAAACTCAGGAGCTTCCACCAGCAGAGACAATGGTGAGGGCTACTGTACTTAGTGATTTATTTTAGTAGTATTCTGCTGGCCATATATTCCTCACCTATGCATAAAAGCAAGGTTTCCCAACCTTGGCTGGAGGATTCTGGGAGTTGACATCTACACATCTTAAAGTTGACAAGATTGGAAAACAAGATTGTTTATGCTAAGCCCTGGAATGAAAAGGGGATGTCGGCTGTTAAAGTGTGGATTTTTTTATATATATATATATATATTAGGTTTCCACATCAGGGAGATCTGTTTATGTAATATATTTTTATTAAATATAGATGGGAAAGTTTATAACTGTTTGCAGACCTGTTATGTGAGGGGAGGAGAATATATCAGATTTTTGATATATTTGTCAGCATTCCGCGGGGTGGATTTTTTAATGTTTAATATTAGTTGTCAATGATGTATTCAATATCTGTTTTTTCCCTACACACATGGTTTTTGTTGTTTGTTTGTTTTCTCTTTTTCTTTGTTTTGTATTTTATCTTTGAAGGTAAGAAATAAATATGTAAAAAAAAGATTGGAAAACAGGGTATATGGGAGACTGAGAGGCAATTGCAAAAATACGTCACATACCTCGGGATTGAAGGATGTGGCTTACTAAATCAAAGCCTTCCTTGGCACTGGAGAGTTGCAAGGCACCAGACTGCAGATCTTCCAGAACAGACTGGGCTGTGTCAAAACTGTCGTTCATAGTTGTGATGATAACACCTGTGGGTCCCCTTTTTACCCAACCACTGCAATAGAGCCCTGAAAAACATAATGCCCAACCAGGCAATTGAGATCCAATGCTTTGTTTTGAACAGATCCAAGCAATGGCCACGAATCTGCAGTGACTTCTTGTGGTACATTCATTCAAAGTCTCCTGCTAATGCCAGGGAGAAGATATATACTTGCGCTATCCATTCAAGACCAATACAAGATGAAGTCTGGAAAAGCTCAATTCTTCTTCTTTTTTTTTTAGTGGATAGCATAGGCGTGCATATGTAATCAGAGTCCCAATAATTCACGCTGACCATTCATTGCTCAGCCTTGGAGCTGAACTGTCTGATTCCCCATTGTCTTTTATCACACCAATTTGTTCTATGGGGCACAGCACGAGTTCTACTAACCTGGTGCCCCAAGAACTCTGCCTGAATTGTTGGGAATAACACCTTGCTTGCTGTCAAAGGGTACTGCGGGATCAATTGGAAGGCTTTTGTATCCAATGCTGCTAAAAACCAGGCCAGACCTTAGTTCCTCGATCTCTCCAGTGGGAACTGCTTTCACAGCATCCCCTGCAGCCTGCATAGTCCAGGAACAGGAAAACAGAGAAGAACAATGTTAGAATGACCACCCTATAAACCAGTTGCACGATCAGGTATCCCCATGGTTCAAACAGCATTCGAGGAAGTGTGAATGGGACGGGAGCCCACCTTAAGATGCTATGGAGTCTAATAACAGCAAAAAAAAATAGCTGCAAATCAGTTCTTAGTCAATTCTCTTCCTAGATGTTGGTTGGGTAATCAGCTTTCTTACCAGGACAGCCTCCTATCACAGGCATCAATACAAAACAAACAAGAGTTCTTTCCACAGTGCTACACAGAACATGAATCCTTGGAGACACATATAGTGGCTTACTGAAAGCCTACCTTTTAAGCAGAGAGCAGGCAGTTACCCTGATTCTTCTAAGTAGAGTGGGAAAATAAAACTATATTTAACTTATTGCTAAAAGTGGGGAAGTTGTTGCCAACCTTAAAGGGATAAATTAAGGACAGGGGGAGAGTTAAGAGGATTGAAGGGCCAGAAAGGAAAAGCTTTGAGATCGTACTTCCAACCTGTTGACAGCTAACTGGATCGCTCTTGCTCTCTTTCCATCCATGGTGGGCAACACTTCCAGTGGACTGCGCTGAAACTTCAGTCTCCACTCTTTGGATGCGGAAGCCCAGCGGCCACCCACCTCCTCTGGCGGTTCTTCCAGAGCTGTTTTGATCATCAGCTCAGTCAGGCGCTTCTTTGGTCTTGGGAGGTCTGAAAGTTACAAAAGTATTGGGAAACAAGGGATTTTTCCAGGGGACGGAGTTTGCCCCTGTGCGATGCTGAAAAGAATAACCTGGAAAAAAAACCTGATTGTCAGCTGTCACCTCATGCTTGCGCTTCACAACCATTCAGTATCAGCTGCCATGAACTCAAGGGGGGCTTCATAGGAAGCAGGGGGATGCTTTGAGGGGAAACGAAACTTCACCGTATTTTCACTGCGAGATGGGCTTCAAGGTCAAACCAGCTGGGAATGGAACACAGCTGCATACCAAACCTACATCTGAAGTGGCCATTCTAAAAACCTCTTGTCTGAATTTGATTGGACATGGGAGGCAGTGATGGGAGGCAAGCAAGGGAGGGAAAAATTAGGTTTGGGGATTTTGGCGCACGAGTTCTGGCGACGCATTACTGTAATTTACATTACTTTTAGTAAACTTTGCTTTTCTCAACAAATGGAGTTAAGGATCGTTCTTACTTAAGAAGTTCAAGCTGAGGCAGGTCTGACACTGATTTTCATTCTCTCTCTCTCTCACACACACACACTCACTTTCTTTTCTTATGTTATTTTTGGTGTGTTTTTTAATGTCACTTTTTAAACTTTCCCTGTTGTCCTCTTCCCGCCACTTTTCCTTTTGTGTTGCAATTTTGTATTTTAACTTTTTGATTGTTGAAACTTAATGAATTTTTTTTGTTTGTTTAAAAAGAAATGCTTGTGGTGAAGTTAGAGTTGGCTTGACTGGCAATGTGAATGTGTGCATTTATTTGCAGAAGATTCCGTGTTNTCCTAGAATGTTTATTTAAGATTGCAGCCTACAATCTCGGGGGATATGTCTGCATAAGAGGTTCAAGCAAAGATGTTTGTAAGCATAAGTACATAAATGTGGGAGGGGGGGAACTGTCAAAAAGCCAAAATACCTTGTCATTAGAAAAATCTCACATGAATAGCATTCCTATCCAATATTCAGTTTATATTCCCCCCCCCTTATCTGAACAGGCAGCTGAAGAGAATAGCAAAGCCTGGGGACCACATTTGTCCTCAAGCAGGTATGTTTCCTTGAGACAAACAGGCAAAATCCAGAGAGATCAGTTCTAAGACTCAAGAAGCACACAGGCTCCTCAAGACAGCTCGGAAAGAAGTCCTACTTTCAATATCAATCCAACAAAAAAAAAGGAAACAACCTCAAAGCATTACAGTGAGCATAGACTAAGATTGCAAAGACATTTGTCACAACACTAGGAGATTCCGGCCAAAACATTTAAGATAGGGATTTGGGTTCTAGAAAAGGTGAATTGAAGATAGCCATGCAAACGTGGTGCCACTCAGTTTTACAGTTCATTAAAATACATTCCTTAGCTGGAGTAGTCCAAGTTGTCATAAGAGTACTAATACAAAGTGGGCAACTTTTCACATTCCAGTTGTTATATAAACTCAGGAGCTTCCACCAGCAGAGACAATGGTGAGGGCTACTTAGTGATTTATTTTAGTAGTATTCTGCTGGCCATATATTCCTCACCTATGCATAAAAGCAAGGTTTCCCAATCTTGGCTGAAGGATTCTGGGAGTTGACATCTACACATCTTAAAGTTGACAAGATTGGAAAACAAGATTGTTTATGCTAAGCCCTGGAATGAAAAGGGGATGTCGGCTGTTAAAGTGTGGATTTTTATCAGGGAGATCTGTTTATGTAATATATTTTTATTAAATATAGATGGGAAAGTTTATAACTTTTTGCAGACCTGTTATGTGAGGGGAGGAGAATATATCAGATTTTTGATATATTTGTCAGCATTCCGTGGGGTGGATTTTTTAATGTTTAATATTATTTATTTATTTATTTATTTATTTATTTATTTATTTATTTATTTATTTATTTATTTATTTATATATATATATATATATATATATATATATATATATATATATATATATATATATATATATATTTGGATTTATATCCCGCCCTTCTCCCGTAGGACTCAGGGCGGCTGACAATCAAATTAAAATACATATATAACAATACAAGTTTAAAATTAATTAAAAGGAATATTTAAATATTTGTCAAATTTAAAATATAATTAAAACCCCTCTAAAAGTTGCCCTAGGCCAGTCCTGCAAGCTGGAATAGCCAAGTCTTGAG